AACCGCCATCGACCAAAAAGTGACCGTCTACAAAAAGTGGCACTTGGCAATAAAGCACCGCAACTTCACGATAAAGTAACATTGCAGTTGTGTGTTTACGTGCATCTTTTCGATATTCAAACCGGCAAAAAGCTATTCGAATATTCGATGGATGATCAAATGTTCGGTAATTATGGACAGCCCCAGTCGGAGTTGGCAAATTTGTTTGCAAATTACACAGTGCGTTTAAAAGCTGTGTTCACCAACTCCTTTTATTTCCTAAAAAGTTTACCAAGGCCCAGTTTTAGAAGGTCACCATTTTAATAATCTGGTAAAAGTTCAGCAGATTACCTTGCTACATGTTCCTGTACAATAGGTTTTTTGCTTGCCATAGGCAAGACCATTGTGGTCAAGTGTTAATTTCACTCCGTGCAAACCCACACCCTGAATTAAGGCAGACAACAGTTGTTTGAGGTAAACCACACATGCAGTAACATGCCTAGAACCTCAAGCAATGTATTTCCCAGATTTAATTCTCCAGATTTAATTTGAAATCTTCTACACAGTCTCTTTAAATAGCTCTCTATTGTCGGAGTCACTAGGCGCTTTGGACTTTGGTAGGATGCAGTCCTTGGCAGGATCATCTTTCTTCTGGCGATGTTGTTCACTCTTTGGAAAATTAGCCATTGACGTCAAACCAAGTTTCAGATTCTGAAGCCCTTTCATCCTGTTGCTGGTCGCTGTATAGTGTTTATTTGTACCTGGGAATTTTGTGTCTGTGTGGGCAGCTCAGAGGAAGATATGTGGAAAAACTTATTTCATTCAAGTGTTCACCTTTTAGTACAAGTGAAAAAACTCTTTATCGTCATGGTTTGGATTGTTATGACTTTTGATTTCTTATTTTTACCAAGGGTCACTGTCTGAGCAGTTGTCAACATGGCTAACAAACCTTATTGTCACTGATTTTGGAAGAAGATGGTAACATTCCTTGTTGCATTCTTTCCCCAGTGATCTCAGTAGTATCATTGGTAAATTCAGAATGACACATTAATTAGATGTTCATTGTGTGCCAAAATGCCAAAAATTTCAGTTTTGATGCCACATACATATAGTGTACACACATTCTTGTTCTGTAGTTGTGGGGACTACACACGAGTTGTCCCATGGTACTATGGGGACCGAAGACGCTAAGGGGACAGCAGAAAGTCCCAATAATTCGGTCCTAATTACCCTAACAATGAAAAACAATAACGCGGTGATGGCCCGCCCACACATACACGCAGCCTACGGTACATGTACATTGTACATGTGGGAAAGACTGTTGTTTTCTTCTTTTGTTCTTTTTATGCCCCGCGGCGAAGCCGAAGGGGCATACTGTTTCCGCCTTGTCCTTCCGTGGGTGGGTGGGTGTGTGTGTGGGTGGGTGAGCTTGTCTTACATACGCAGTGTGGACTTCCGAACAAAAGACGTCCACATAATGTAGGTAGCAGCGACGAAGTGTGGACTTGCCCACGTCCACACAGTGTTTCCCCATTTCTGGAAAACAGGTTTAGAGGCATTTTTGGGTTAGGTTTATTTGTAGCAGAATGAAGAGAAACACTAAAGGGAATCATTGAAAAAAAATTGGGTTGTAAGAGTTTTCACAGTTTGAGAAAAATGAGTTTTTCCACTGGTGTTCCTTAACTACACGAAAAGAAAGGAAAGTCCACACTAGGTACCGGTATGTGAAACAAGTCTGGGTGGGTGTGTGGGTGTGTGTGTCCGGACAAATTTTGTCAGCGCGATAACTTGAGAAATACTTAACATATGAACTTCAAATTTGGTTTGTGGATTGTCCTTGGTAATCCTAAGAAGCCTTTTGCATTTGGAGCCGAAAGGTCAAGGGTCAAGGTCACAGTGGCTGAAACAATAGAAATTTTGTCAGCACGATAACTTGAGAAATACTTAACATATGAACTTCAAATTTGGTTTGTGGATTGTCCTTGGTAATCTTAAGAAGCCTTTTGCATTTGGAGCCGAAAGGTCAAGGGTCAAGGTCACAGTGGCTGAAACAATAGAAATTTTGTCAGCGCGATAACTTGAGAAATACTTAACATATGAACTTCAAATTTGGTTTGTGGATTGTCCTTGGCAATTCTAAGAAGCCTTTTGCATTTGGGGCCAAAAGGTCAAGGGTCAAGGTCACAGTGGCTGAAACAATAGAAATTTTGTCAGCACGATAACTTGAGATATACTTTACATAGGAACTTCAAATTTGGTTTGTGGATTGTCCTTGGCAATCCTTAGAAGCCTTTTGCATTTGGGGCCAAAAGGTCAAGGGTCAAGGTCACAGTGGCAAAAACAAAAGAAATGTTGTCAGCGTGATAACTTGAGATATACTTTACATATGAACTTCAAATTTGGTTTGTGGATTGTCCTTGGCAATCCTAAGGAGCCTATCACATTGGGGGTCGAAAGGTCAAGGGTCAAGGTCACAGTGGCTAAAACAATAGAAATCTTGTATTTATTCTGAGATCATAGGGATTAGGGATTAATTCATATAAAACCTACAGAAGACACTAATGCTGTCAATGAACATTCCATTTGACCAAGGTACTTGTAAGTTGATGTTAGAGTGGTGTTATGTCATGGAAACAGTCACGGTTGCGGGGCATTTGTGTTTGTAAACACACCTGACTTGTTTGTCTCTGTATCGCTCTCAAACTCCATAGCATTTTCCGTTTGGGGCTAATACCAGTAGCTTCCTGAAGACTGAATTGTGGGGTCTATTGTCCCTATTGGCTCCTCGCACAAGTACGGTACCCCTTCAATGGCCAGAAAAGGAGGGTTGGGGGAGACCTACATGTAGACTGGTTCCTGGTCCATCCGCTGCGTATTTCAAATGATCCAAAGTTATCGGGGGCGGGCATTAGTCTTGCAGACCATCACAAGTTAAATTTAAAATGAACGTATTCGCGTGCCGACGATGCCTGATGCTTGCGCGCCAAGATGCTATGACTTAGCTTTGTGCTCATTCAGGATCAAGTTGTGCGTACTTCTCTCGCGAACCAGTACAGTGCGCACACGCGGTGTCCCGTCCAAGGGGCTCTCAAAAGAGGTTAACCTCTTTTGTTGGCACACGGAGCCCATTACTCTCTGTTTGCTTTCCCATAATATAGGCCTAAGGAACCATGTGTGTCTACACACAATACATCCTAAAAGTATTCTAAAGTTTTACATTAATTGTACATTTTCAATTCAACATCATTTTCTTGGAATGTATTTTTTTTTTTTTTTTTTTTTTTACGAACTTGTCCTCAAAATTTCATAACCATAATATTTATTGCTCTCTGGGTGGGCTTACATATAAACTGCAAATCTATTTAAATAAACAGCAATTAAAATACGAAAAGAATACATGTTCATGTATGTAAACCCCTTTTCCCCCGACAGGATGTCCAAGCTTACAATGGGATGAGCCCTAATGGTGTTTGCTTAGAAAGTCCACAAACATGTTTTTGTCCGAGTTTAAATGTCAGAAAATTGCACCTGGCTGACGATGACGAGTTTGACATTTTTTCTTTTTGACGCGTCCTAATCGCGAGAGAGCTAGGATGAGTTCTGACTGACCAGCTAATAATGGCAATGATTATAGAAACCCCCCCTCAGGGCATCAGTCTCTTGAAACACATGATGCTGTTGTTATTCGTTTTTGAGTCGACTTTTTCTGTCAAACCTACAAATTGACCCTCAATTAAAATAGTCCAAGGGACTTCGTGAGTCCCAATTGTGAACAGGAGCAACTGACACAGTTGGCCATTATGGACACTGGGCAAAAGTACCTCCTCAATATGCTCAATGCAATGGTTAAAGGGAGAGTCAGGGGAGACCGATGAAAGAGACATGCAAACTTGCCAACGGCACCTGACGCTCACCCGAAGATGCTTCAGGTTTTTGCACATCAACACTCCTGCTATTTAAACAGTCACAGACGTTCAAAATGTCCATCCACTTCCACTGCTATACTTTTAACACAGGCTAGTCACCAGCAGTCAGATCATATGTCAAGCAAGCAACAGACCATTAACAGACAAAGCAAGCAAGTTGTGGGCACAGCCATGGGTGTCGCGAGGGGAGGGGTGCTTAAAAGCAACAACACACCCAAAAAAGGGGAAAAAAGGAGAGAGAAAAAAAGAGGTTCAAAGTCCTACTGCTGTTAGTTTAATGCACATTTAACAAAATGGGCGTCCACAGGGATGTCAATGGGGATGGAGTGGGCAAATGTCCCCCCACCCACCCTCGAAAAATGATAAATTGAGAATATGCTTAAGAAAGCACAAGGATTTGGGGAAATAATGTGTTTTGCCCCCCTCTATAGAAAAAATCCTGGCAACGCCACTGGACACAGCTGGCTTAGTCAGTCTTGCTTTTACATGTATGTAGGCTGAGAATTTTTAACTGTTGAAAACAGTCACTTGATTGATTTTGATTGAAAAGACTACTTGGCACAGAATGTAGTTTTGCATAGGAGGGTTAACAATAAAACGAGTCGTGTTAGCACACATCAATTATATCATGTAATGTGTCATACGTGCTTGCACCAGCTGACCAGTCCCACTGGCACTGGGGTTTTTTCAAATTAATGTGGTTAATGTGCACGGGGTCCGTACATGAACATGTTTAATGCCTGTGAAATTCACACTTGGTTTACACAAAAGTTATTCTGGCATGATCTGGGTTGATCATCAAAACAAAGGTTCATGAAGGAGGTCGAATTCAGTAACGAACAATTTCGAACTAGTGAAGGTTTATGGCAACACGATGTGGACATTCTTTTGGGAAAACGCGTGGTTCTGAACAGAACCGGTTTTAAAACTTGACGTTCCGATCAGTATGTTCTGATCGTCTTCAGTAGAACAATTTTGAAGTTTTAATCCCTTTTAATTTGTATTGAAGTTTGGCTGAACTGCAGTTCATTGTTCACGCTTGAGTACATGTAGATTGACATTGAACATCAAAGCCCTTGTTGAAAAACTATTACCTTTTTTTCTGCAGAGCAGGGATGACTGAAATGTGGCTTTTAAGCAATTGAAGTAGACCCAAACCGAAGCTTTCCGTTCCGGTGATTTTTGTCCAGTCATGTGAGTGGAGCTCTTAAGGTTCAATCCTGAGGGTTTTTTTGAGGTACATGTACAGTCCATCATTTGTAATTTGTGCATTGTGTTATTTTGAAGCAACAAACGTGCTCAAAATTAAATAAGGTGCTGAACAACTAACCTGATGAAGTTTTAGCTCAGCTCAGCTCAGCTCAGCTCAGCTGTATATTTCGAGAAAAACACCATTCTAGGATCTCGATTTCAAATCAAAAGTTGCTGAATCATATTTTGAATTGGGCCTGAATTCAGTGTCCGAGACACGTTCTCACTGAGCTGATCGCAGCTACGCGATGTCGCGCACTGATCCGACGAATTATAGCAACCGCGCGCATGTGCGTCATGTCAACGCTTGCGCGCACTTCGCCAAACCAAAAAAACGAACTATTACGGAAATGTCCAACGCCTTCTTTCGTTGATTTCTTCAAAATGACGGCATGCCAAAAAGAATAATTTCACATGGAGTTTAGTTCCCTTACTATCTTTTCAACCAAGTACGTTTTTCAACAATAATTATGTCCGTTACTTTTTGGATAGCTGCAAATGATGAACTGTAGCTTTAAGTCACATTCTTCTAGCATGTGCATGTACATGTAATAGGTTTTACTTTTTGTCATAGCACGAGAGGCCTGCATTCATACACGTAGTTAAAATAAAAACCTGCCGAACAAAAATAGCCGTCCAATAAAGCGTGTGTCAATATGCCATCAAGATGGATGGCTCTTGTTTGCTCTCAAAGCAAACTTCCGCTAATTTGATCAAACATGTTTTGGCGCAGGCAAAATTTGTTGACACAATCATTTCTCTTGCTTTCCCATGCCCCTCCACATTTTTTCGTCCCGAAGTGAATGATGTACGCAGCCCACAAACTGTCAGGTTGGAAATTCCTTTTTGTTTGCGCAGTCCGCTGATAAACATGCCGGGTTTGGTTTGACGTGTTTCAGTTTGTTTTACCAAGGATGTTACAAACATGTCCCAGACACTAAGTACAGAAGAGTCCCATTCGTGACATGAATCATATATCAACTTTGATTTTCAAAGACGCTTTAACTGAGATACAATATAAAGCGTTTGATAGTTCTTCAAACCTATTTTTTTTCATTAAATTTGTTACAATGTACATTGCATGCCATGGATAAGTTTTTTATTTTCCCAGACTGTTGTCTATTTTTTTAATTAACTGCTGTATTGTCAGGCCCGTCATCAAGGGGGGAGGGGGCCTGGAGGGGCCAAACAATTGGCCCCCCCCCCCCCCAACAGCAAAAGCCATACATGTGTATTTTTATATTTCTTATGGTGGTGGGCCCCCTATTGTACTATACCCCCTCCCCTCCCCCGATGTTCAGGGCTGGCAACGGGCCTGTGTATATTGTACTGGTAAAGTTCAAAACTACATACGTGTACAAGACTGTCTTAATATCTCACAAAATGTCTTCTGATGAAACAAACACCTCATTTCCACAAAAAAAAAATTAGTACAGACATGTACAAGTGATATCCTTCAGGATAGAATTCTGCATCAGGGAGGTGTTTTCTCGTTCACTTACACTGTACATGTTGTAAATGTATCAAAACCACAGTATGTTCAGTGCTGATTAGAGAATATAATGTACGAGAATGTACAATGTACAAGTAGTTACGTGTACATTGAGTAACCTCAGCAAGCTCTGTGGTCGAGTGGTTGTGCCATCTGTACCAGTAAGCAGATGGTTGTGGATTTGACTCCCACTCGAGTATTAAGGGGAGTCAGGTTGGCAAAGCGGTTCTTTCCTCGGCTTCCACCGCTGCGACCCGTGTTCGAATGTATGGATTTCAGCCCCTGCCTTATTCTGTGGGTTTCCCCCAGAATAATCTTCTGGGCTTTTTCTCCCACCTCTAAAACTGTAATTTCTTCTCACTGTCTTCTCACTGTCTCCTCTGCAAGCTACACAGTGCCTAGGGCGCTTTTGAGGAATACTGGGTTTCATTACCAGAATAACAGTAAATAATAATAACAAAGCTTGGTGATTTTTTTCCTTGTATTGAGCTCTTAGACAGCACTGAATATTCAGTAATTATAAAACTACGTTGATGAAGGTCAAAAACATACATCATTGACTATTTACTCAATGTGTTTGTATGTTTACTTCAGTTAACAAGGTTTTAAAGTTAAATTTGATAAAAATTATTGAAATTATCCCAGTGAAGATCTGCAGACTGAAGCGCAGGAATGAAGCAAAGAGTGGCAATTCCAGATCTCATCACGCGGTGTGTGTGCAGTTAATCCGTCAGCAAACAAAGAAATGGGCTCGTTTATCACATCCGCGACAAACTTCAATCTCTCTGATTTGATTACCGCCGTTTCCCAGTGGCATATCCCGGCCATTAACCAAGTTATAGGATGGGCACCGGCTTGACGTGATTGTCTTGGGGTGTTTCATAACAAATGAACCGTGACACCGGTGATATAGAGCCAGCCGGCCATCGCATTGATTTAGGAGGGTGGGGATTTAAAACTCCTCCAGGACCGACCGAGCGAAACTAATTATCACTGCCAGTGTGATTACGGTTCCGCCGGTTGCATCAGCAGTCCAGACAACCGTATTATGATTATTGCAAGCCCGTCCAAGCAGATTCCCTTCGCCGGTCATAATATGTATTAATGAAAAACTTCATTGCGGCATGCAATTCCGCCGAGCCTCTGTCTACTTTTAGCAGAGGGTCCATGGTTCAGTTCACACACATGATGCAGTACCTAGCACCACAAGAATGGCTGTTTCCATGGCTCTGTGCACCTTGATCCAGACGTATGCATCATAGGAATCGGTATTTACACACAAGTGTGATATAAAAAAGCACATACATCAGGTACATACATGTATGCATACATACAGTCTCAAAAAATTGCGGTTTGCAAAGTCTTGTGGTGTCACTAAAAAGCCCACAATTACATGAAGATTTCTGTAAAAATCCGTTCAAACAGGTTTTTAAAAGCCAGTCTTTACATGTATATGAATCTGGGACTATAGGGCTGTACATCGGAACCGGGTACCCGAGTACCGGACCATTGATGTCAGGAACCGGTTCCAGATTATGGAATCGAGCGTAACTTCTCAGACAATGAAAAAGAAAGATTTTGAATGTCATTTGTGGGGAATTTTCAAAATCCAAAACAAAAAACATATTTCACGTTGATGACGCTCGCGAAAGTTGCAGTTTACATCATAAAGCTATAAAGCTCACTGTACATACTTGTATCTTGCTGTTTTGATGCACCGATGTACATGTGCTTGTAGTATAGGCCTGTTATTGTACCGGTACGACCCTTTATGAACAATCTCAACAGCAACTTCCGGGATTGGAATTTTTGGGGTTTTTTTTGGTTGTTTTTAATGGGCACCTGGATACCCGTGGTTTTTGCAATCGAGTATGCGTTTCCCGCACTACCGTAAATGCACACATCTATCTGGGGCAAATCACGTTTCATTTTGCTCAGCGTAAAAAAGATTTAGCAAATGCCGGTAGGGTTACCAGCTTAAGAATTTCATGCATTGACGATTGTTGGATATGTTGTAAGTTGGATGGTTCTGTGCAGATTTTTGCCAAGCAGTATTTATGACTTCAAGCTCAGTGACTGAAGTCTGGCCCCCGCTGTCTTGTGTCTGCGTATCAATAGCCTTTAGGTGAACCCTGCTAACAGACAGAACATTCCTTCAGTCTGCTTTTTCATCACATTTTCCTATTAAACACATCACCCACCAAATTATGAAAAGGCTTTGTATTAATGCTGTGTAAACCTGACCCGAAACCGACTTCGGGTCAAGTCAGGTTGGTTTGTCCGACATTTTAGTTGGGTCAGGTTGGTTTCAGTTTTGCGTTTGCGATTTTCGGATTGGGTCTGGTCCGTTAAGCCATTTTGGAAATAAACCGAAATAAAAATATTCGGTTTTTTTCGGGTCGGTTCAGTTTCGGGTCGTTTTAAAAAAAAATTGTTGTCAGGTCGGGTCAGGTCGGTTGTAGTTAGTCCAGTTTGGTTTCAGCTCGGATTTGGTTTATAAAATAAATGTCTCGGGTCGGTTTGGCCTTGTCAACCAGACCCGATGCACCACTACTTTGTGTCATGACTTATATGTATACTAAAAATGCAAGCAACTTTGTACTGATACAATGTTTACATTTACAACATGCAAGTTGATGTTCACACATGTACAATGTACATGTGTGCATCAGAGGAGAGCTAAACTTTGAATTGCAAATTTCAAGGCTTTGCTAACCACAAAATTCCACAGTTATGATCATTCTTATATGCTGACAGTGCTTGCAAAAATAAATGTGACAATTAACCCTGTAACTGTAAGCACAGAATCATCAGTTACAGGATGTACAGTGCATATGTACCGGTATGCACGTGCATTTACATGTATAAGCCTAAATTCCTCGCAAAATCTTGAAATATTATGCTAGTCTTAGGACGGCATTTTCTGCTACGGTAAGCCATCGTGGATTTTTGGCTAAATATGAAATTGGGCCGTGGCTAACAGTTGTGGCACAAAACACTATTTGAATAAAAAGGAAAATCATTGCCCGGAATAGCAGGGGCCATTTTACATCAGGTACACGTAATCATGTCACCAGACAATCTCTACCGTTGAGCCTGAACGTGCTACCCCCCCCCCCCTCTTTCAGGTTGAGTGATTTAAGGCCAAGATGTCATCATTCATGTCATTGGATCACATCAGTGAATGGTTGGAATGATTTTTCATTAAGTTGGCATTCATGTGTGTCACATCAGACACAGATGGTGCACAGATCAGCCAAATGTGAAATTAATGTTCTGAAATTTGAAAGTCATGTTGGCTGTGATTTGTTAAATGCTTGAAATACGCATGTCGTCTGGAGAATGTTGGTAGAAAGTCATTATACCTTGTGACCTTGGTCTTGAAAAACATTGGATTTTTTTTAATGCCATCCTGAGGTGGACTATGGCATCTTATGTCATGTATAGATCA